TTGCATTTGGAAAAAACGCCATTGTGTGATTTTTGTTGAAAATGATGTCTAGTTAGTAGCTTGTCCAATATTTGGAAAGGTCAAAGTTCAATTACCAATATGATTTGCGATATGCATTTATTTTTATAATTATCCTACCATGAGCCATGAACAGAAATGAAATCAACCCCCCCCCCGTCCCCAAGCGCCACCTATCTATATTCTATGGTTTAAAAATTCTTGGATGAATATTCGAGAAACAATATACGTTGATGCCGGCAAATAGCAAGCACCGTGACTACAATGGAAAATCTGAGCAAAAACTGGTGTAATATTCGTACATTGCTCTTGATTTGTCAGTGGTTCATATTCAAATGAGAGATATTGTAAATACATAACTCCTGAATCTACTTAACAATATTCGCAATATAGTGTCCATAATATAGATAATAGCAAAATATGAAATGAAGCAGAGCATCATGGGTATTCTCTCGCTACTTGAGCATAAACTCCAAATGTAGAGTGACTACGCCACTTTTAAATCGCCTTCCATCCACCAAACTTTTACAACATATACTACACATAATACAGAGTATATACCTTCATTCATAATTGCTATGCATAATGTTATAGTTTGGGTGTATTTGAAGTTGAAGACTGGATTTTCTTTTTCTTTCACTATTAAAATGGGAAATTTGTTTATGTTTGAGCTTAACCCCATGCCCAAGGACAGGCAGAGAAACACAGAATTCCCAATTTTGCTTTGTTTTTGGAGTAACTTGTTGTTTCATGTGACGTTTTTTGAGCTGTTGCATCCTGAAAACAAATCACCTTGCTTAAACGCCGGCGTGCATCGCCATACTACAAACTGTATCATGGTTAACTGTCATCCACGTGATCCATCTAGGTTGATCAATTATTTATTTTGTTGAAAATTATTGGAATAGACAATTTAATTATAATTAAGATCCTGGTTGGCTAAATTTTTTTAATTTTATTTTATTTCATTTATCATTATTATTTTCTGACCGATGGGGTGGTCAATAAATAAAGATAAAATACCAGGTGTCCTCAGTATTATGACTGTTAGTAGTGGTTTGAAATTTTATATGAAACAAAAACCTCTGTACGATCTCTGGTAGTACTGTTATGATAGCGACTTCACAATTGGTTCACACGCCGTTGCACTATTGCTTAGAATCAACAACTTGCATGTTTAGGGTGGAGATTATAAACATATATTTCAGGAATTTGATAAATAGACTGTTTACTTATTATATTTAGTAGTGGCAACTTCGCAAGGCTTTAACCTTGAGACACATCCCTGGTAATCACGTGATCGTGCCAACGATTGCAGCGATTGGCTGATCGCAAGTCTACTCCGCCACGCCTTAGTGTTTTGACTTTTTTTTTGTATTATAGAGAGTTTTGTAACTTTTGTAAGGGAGAAAGAAGGAGAGAACGGTGCAGCGAGGAGTTACCTCAGATGACTGCTTGTGTGAATAAAGCTGGTCTATGTGTAATGAATTAATGTGCATTAATTTGGGTCAAATCTGGTACCTCTACGTGTAAGCATGGAACTATAAACCATTTATAGTTTCATGGTGTAAGTGACATAAGCCAAGCGAGACGAACACAACGCCTGTGTTCACAACAGTACTATAAATTTTCTTGACAGAAAATGTTCAACTCCATAACCCATCCTTTTACCACAATAATTTTATGTTTCTCAGTTTTAAGTTAGCATATAGTTGCAGTCAAATTGCTGTAGGCCAAGTGGCACACATCCAACAATGTTGACATACACAAAAGAAAAATGGGCGATCCCATGAGCCTCCGGGAGTTTTCGTGAGCTGCTAAATGACAAGAATTTATTTGTAGGTCATGAAAGAGGTTGTACAAAGTTAGAATAATACAAAATATAATTTATAATACTAAAAATAATTATAAATGACAAAAGATATCAACACAGCGCCTCGTATTACAATGAAACATTTCATATTGTGAAACATAACCGAACGAGACGATTATCCAGTAGTCTGATATGGAACCCATATTTCCATATATTAAATTGAAATATATTATGTGCATAATCGATAAAATAACAGTATCAGGTGAAACCTAACCCTTCAAATGTTTATTGGTCTACTTATTTGACCCGGCCATCACATATTTTTGAAAATACACATAAAAACCTGTTCAGTGATATCACACATCAATAGTTCACACAGCTAGAACCAAATCAGCAAAAACAAAAATAGATTCGGCTCGTTGAACACAAATTCGCCCTATATGTCGTACGCCTGATTATAATACACGAACAAGCACGATGTGTTGTCAACTTGAAATTCATAGATTGTTTCAAGGAGCAGCCACAATGCAGCTGTGGTCAATAAACCTTCGATAGGAATGTTATAATAAGAATTTGTGAAAAAATTATGAAGCTTTCAGTGAACTCCTTGGTTAAAACAGTAGCATGTTCCGGCTAGTGGCGGCAGTTTGGCAAACGCGCCTTTCCCGATATTAAAGCGCGGTGGTCGTCGCGCAGCGCGTGTTAGAGTTTCATGTAAATAAACAATGTATTTTACACGCGTTATATACGTCGTTATGAGTCACATATCGAACAGAACGCGGCACGACGACTGCCACCCTTCAAAGTTAGGTCGTGTTGAAATTTTAAAAACACATGACGGTTTACTGTATATTATAACATATAACTTGTTCAAGAGCGAATACCCGCCCTGAAATTAACTTACCTATAAGTATTTGAGATAATATACATTTATTATTTTATACATACATGGCGCGGGTTTATACATTTATTAACCTCAAGGTTCCTCGTGTACTATTCGATATGATGTTTCTCAATATAGCGTTATTGTGCTCTGCCATCGCCTGACTTTGTACGTGACGGTCCCAGGGTGAAGACTGGTCATTATGATTTATCACCTTAGTAATTCAATGAATTGGGGCGGTAACATTTCACCGAGATCTCACCCGGACACAACATAAATAAACCTCTTCTGCAAGTCACATGAGTGTGTGACGCACTTGCCTACCGAGTTCATTTCTTTTTATTTGCATAGTGAAACATAAATCGATTTCACTTGTACAAACTTCTTTCTTCTATGTGATTGTTTATTTACCGTCCTAGTCTATGAGACTGTATTTTAATGTTTGTATGACAACAATGTCTTGAGGCCCTGTCATAAGACAACTTTTATTATGTGCAATTTGAATGTCTCTCATGTCTTACTATTCGTTCCATATTTAAAGCGGAAGGGTCGTTACCTGCGCACGCGCGGGAATTGAGTCCCAAGCGATGATAGCAAAATACGCTAAAAAACGCAAAGGCTCATGGGTAGACGCTTGTTTGTAAACAATGACACGCTATGACCATCTGACCTGCGCAGGTGATGACTCTCCCTCTTTAAGAGAAAAGGGGAAACTTAGAATATTCTGCAATTCGATGTGTTGTAACCTTGACAACAATACATTTCAATATCTTCAAACACAATTACGGAAGGTAGACCTTGATTTCACAAGACAACGATTTGTACGGACTAAAGTGTGAGTTGAATCTGACCCCCGTTCGCGCAACTTGAAGTGTGAGTGAACCCATCTCATCGCCCACCGGAAAGGAAGATAGCAAAAATTCAAGAACATTGTTCTCAAGAAAAAAAAAAAGACTCACAATGCAACTTGAACTTTCAACATTTGTACAGTAACTTGAATTGTTTTATAACCACTAATCAAATATGTATACCTCCTTCAAGTTGGTTACAGTACTAAAAAAATGATATAAACAGACAAAGAATTTTGTATTTTATTCGCCCCCTCTGATTCGTAAATGCAACTGGGTCTACCCGATATAGAAAAATATAGAATTAGCTTTAATCTTAGTCTGTACGGACTAGAACGATGTAAGCCCGAACCTTGGAAGCCCTCCAGCGACAAAGCGCTTCACATACGTCAGAACATGGAGGTCAGAATGAGGTGTAGGCAACGGCGTTTAAATCAACTATGTTTAGTTAAGTCTTTATAGTTATTTATAATATAGGATTTTTTTTAAATTTATTTATTGCCGAACGACCATAAATCAAAACAATATCCGACACGTCGTCAGCCAATGATTGTC